AGAAAAAAGTAAGCAAAATAACAAGTATATTAAGAACTAAGAAGCTCTTAGCAAGCCAGATTATTTATATAAATAATATAGTGTTATTATCAAAGCTTGAGTATTTGCTTACAAATATATGTCTTAGGAAAAAAACTGTGACACAATTCACTAACCTATGCTTAGACTATTAAAGTGAAAATAGAACTATCTTCAATATGTGCAAATGTGACTATATTATATAACAAAATCTTTAATATAATAAGCTTGTGGCAAAAGCATTTAAAGTATCACATATCTGAACTATTTATAAGAATAAATACAAATAATATAGTTGAAACAACAATGCTTATAAGATTAAAGCAGTTCTAACTAGATACAGATATACCAGAATATATACTCTCATTAGATGATATAAAGTAGAAAAGAGTTGGACAAGATTTATTCCTTCCTTTTTTGTAATAGTTGTTAGTATTATCTCTGCTGTTGTTTTGTACCATTTTGGTTGCTTGCTCTTTGGGATTTTTTGTATTGTATGTGCTATTTGGTTCTATTCTATTACTGTGATGTTGTTCATGTCTATAAACTGCTCAATATAGTACAGTTTATGCTTGTTTAACTTTTCTTTTAGTTTGGTTTTTTGTTTGTATATTTCTGAGTTTAGTAGGTCATTTAGTATCAAATTGATACTTGTGCCTTTCTGTTAGTGTATAATAGGCCACAGTGCTAGCAGATTTGATAGACTAAAATTTGACTTATGCAGTAGCATGATTTGTTTTGCAGTTGTCATATTATCTTCTGGTATTGGGATGACTGTTGTTTTTGAAGTTAGAATTGATTCATTTGATATGACAGTATCCTGTATTTGTTGAATTCTGATTCTAAGAGATTGGTTCACGTTGTTTTTGCTGTTTAGTTGTTTAGTGAGTAATGATATATAGTATTATGTGATAATATTCTACATTTTTCTTAGGGTGTATAACTTGGGGTTATGTATTGTAGCATTAGGGATTCTACATGGCAGACCTGCTTTTTGTTTGACAATTGTTGTATATCGATCAGTTATTTTATTGCATCTGTTCTCATTGAGAATGTAGTTCTGTGATCTGTATTCAAACCGTGTTAGGATTACTGAGTTGATAATATAAATTGCTTGTTTTTTAGTGATAGTTGCTCTCTTAAGTAGTTGTAGTGCCTCGCTTATTTCTTTTTCTATTATTTTTTGTACTGCCTTTTGGTGATTGTTAATTGTAAACTAGCAGCCTAGAAACTGAAAGGGTGTACTTTGTGTATTTGCGTAGATTATTTGGTTATTAAAGGTAATACTTGCAGTAGGAACTATTTTCGATGTTGTATTCATTACGAGTATTGATTTATTTGAGTTAACCTTGATGTTGGCCATATTGTAGAAAGACTAAACAGTTTTTATAATGGAGTTAAGTTGGGTTTAGTTATTTGTTATCTATAACGTATTGTCTATATACACAAGTACATTATAAGCTTGTGTTGTATTTGGTTTGCTATTAGTTGTATCTGTTGTAGTTATTAGTATATATGATCTATAAGTTCTGTTGATGTTAGCAAGAAGGGGGTCATAGTATACTCTCCACAATAGTGGGGTTATTGTCTCTCCTTGGTCTATGACATCTTGCATATTGTATAGGTTTGTATTGCTGAATGTTGTAATGATTTCATTTTGCATATTGAAAGAATATTCACTATCAGATTTGTTATCATTTTAGATATTTTAATCCATTCGAGAGCCTTTTTGAGTAAGGGAATATGTACAGAGTCGTACGCTTTGCTCATGTCTTAGGAAAGTATCCATAAACTTTTCTTGTTTATATTAGCATCTTCTATGATATATTGTAGTATTTGTATTAGTATAGCAGTAGATGTGTTAGGTAATGCTACATAGTTGGTTGGATCAAGTATTTCGCATCTGGCAAGAACGGTATTTAGTCTTCTAGTTATTATCTTCGTTAAGATTTTTTATATGTGTTCTATTAGTGTTATTAGTCTTGTTATTTCGAGTTCTTCTGTAAAGACTGGTCTTTTTGATATTGGGTATATTATACTATTTTTTTATGCTTTTGGTATGTCCTGTGTTTTTAGACACAGGTTTAAAGTCATCAAGAGCATGTTGAGTACTTTAGGTCCTAGATATTTTATCATTTCATTAGAGATTTGTAATAGTCCTGCTGCTTTGCTGAGTGGAGCTTTATTTATAATCTCTTTAAGCTCTGTGATATCTATTAGTTTTGTAGTTTCATCATACTAGTTTCCTCTTATAGTTTCTTTTTGTCTATATTCTTTTTCTCATTCAGGCCAGTATACTATATTGGTAGGATTGTATTTTGTCTAATTATCAAAGTGGTCTTTTATCTTTTCTTTGATTTTTGTAGGGTCTGTGATTAGACTGTTCTCAATATGAATATTTTGTATATTTACTGGGTCTGTATATTTTTGTAAGATACTTTGAATCATTTTGGATATGTTTTCAGAGAAGTTTTGATAGCATTTTTGTATTTTTTCTTTGATGTCTTGTATTTTTCTGATTTTGTTTTCAGTATTGCGGGCTTTAGTGATTTCTCTTTTTCCTTTTAGGAGTATTTGGAGTATATTAGAGAGTAATTCTGTATCTACTATTTCTGATATAGTTTCTTTAACTGATTTGTTGATTTGGATAATTTTTTGGTTGCACTACTCTCTATCGATCTGTGGTGTATTAGTCTCTATATGTCTTAGTACAGACCTAATATTCGTGAAGACTTTATGTGTTTTGGTTGCATGGTAGTTATGTTTTTTGATAATTGAATAGTTTATCTTTCTTGTTGTATTAGGAATATCTTTTTTTGCTCTTTCTATTATTGCTGCAGCGAGTTTATTCCATATTTTGTTTAACTGGTACATATCTTCTGTCTGTTTTTTATCTGACTTTGAAGTTGTTGTATTGTTGATTAGCTGTTCTACCTCCTTATTAAATTGCTCCCATTTTTTCTTTGTCATTTCGTTGTAGTTATATATTCTTCTTTTATGGGTACTCTTCTGTTGTATATATGGTATTTTGTCTTGTGTGTTCCATTGTGTTTGTATAATACAATGGTCGCTGTCTGTAATGTGTGCTGCCTTGATAATTTGTGATGTTGTAAATTCATTAATTTGTATTGATGGGATCCATATCTCATCTATTTGGCTGCTAGAGTCTCTTGTGTTCTATGTAGATATGTTTGGTGTCAGGATATGAAGTAGTGGGAGCATATTATTCCTTTCTATGTATGTAATAAGTTGAGTTTTTTGTTTACATTTTTTTAGATCTATATTGAAATCTCCTAGGATTATTGGTATCATCTCCTTGCTTGTTGCCTGTTTTGTCTATGTAATGATTCGATTTGAGTCTTTGTATTTAGTATCTTGTCGTGAGGTAGATATACTAAGATAATTTGGAGTTTTATCTTGTTTGGGAAGAAGAGATCAATACTTATTGCAGTGCCTGGCTCTGTTTGAATATTGTGGATATATGGTTGAAGAGTATGTTTTATTGCAATTGCTGTGCTAAGGCTTGTCTCTTGCCTCTTTGTATTTGTTGAGTTGTTGTTTGCTGTATATATCTTGTACCAGAGGTTTTGTAGCTCTATTGTCTCAAATTTTGATTCTGCTAACTTTGTTTCTGTAATACTAGCTATATCGATGTCTTGTTCTTTACAGTACTCTAGCCAGAGTTATCTTTTTAAGTTATTATTTAGGCCTCGTATGTTGTAAGTTATAATTTTTAAGTTGTTTTTTAGTAGGTTGTTTTTGTTTTTGTTAGAACTTCTGTTGTTTTCTGTCATTAGTAAAAGATATTCCAGGATGGTGCAGGAAGTTCTAGTAGATTTAGTAAATAGTTTGGGATTTGTAGTATCTCAAAGTACTCTTTAAGCTTATTAATCGTTGGTGTGATTTCTTGTTGTGTAGTGATAGGTAGTTCGATTTGAAGCTTGATTTCTTTATTTTCTATATGCTCTTGAAGTTTAACGAGCGAAAGTAGGATTAGAGGCTTTGTTTCCTTCTCTGTTTGATTTTGTGTATTGTGTTGTCTTGGCTTAATATTGATCTACTTATCAGAGATTCTTGTAAAGTAATATGCAGTCCTAAGTAGTCTTGCTGTTTCAGTTAGTAGTTGTGGTGTATTAATAGGGATAGTTAGATTAAATTCTTTAATTTCTTTATGGTCATAAGGTAACCATGGTTTGTTGGTAGGGTTTGCAGTCATAATTTCTACTGCAATTGGGAGTCTTATTTTGTACTTCTTTTCAGCAACTTTTATAAATTTTCTTGCTTCTTTATTGTCTGTTATTGGGTATATGAATTTGGTATTGAGATTGATTTTTTGAGGATCTTTAGATAGTAGAGGTCTTTGTTTAAAGTAGTCATTAGGTATATTCTTGAAAATATAATATTCTTTTAGTATATCTTTCACTTCCTTGATTGTATACTCTTCTGTTGATAGATCTACTAGAAACATTTTACGAACTCGGCTGTTAAGCTCATGGTATGTTACAGATAAGGCTTCTCTTGGTAGTAGTAGATCAAAATATGTTTTTAGTAGTTGCTCAAAACTATAATAATCTCAGAGCTTTTGTACATGGTAGCGGAGTTGTTGAAGTTGGCTTCTGGTATGCATTAGGAAAGTATATTTCATCTCAATAGGTAGATCATATGGTGTTTTGGGGAGTTGAGGTAACTCTTTGAAATATGAATTAGGTAGACGACTGAAGTTGTAGATGATTCTTAGTGTATTTACTATAGCAGTTGTTTAAGACCTTTTTTTGATTAGTAGTTCAAAGGGTAGGATGTTTCTTATCTCTTCTGAGATTAGATTTGGCCTTTCAGGGAGTTCTTGAAGTTTTGTGTTTATTGCATCTTCTATTGCTTTCTGTGTTGTAGTGTAATCTTCAATTTTTTCTGCTTTTATAAAATTTCTTGTATATTTTAGCTCCTGGTATATTTGGTACTTGTTAAGTTTTCAGAAGTTTGTATTAAGCAGGTGGTTGATCATGATTTTTTGTCATAGTTTGAGTTGAATCATGTCTCTTACTTTCCTGTTTAGCAAAGTAATTTTATTAGTTTGTTTGTATACCTGTATTGCCTTTGTTTGTAAGTCAGTGAACTCTTTTTGGTGTGCTGGTATTGTGTTTTTCTCTTGTATAAAGGTTACGAAGAAGGCTGTGTCTTTGTAGATGAATTTTTTCTTTATTGCTTCTGGGATTTGAATATTAGTAGTTGTTGTATTGAGTTTGTATTCTATAAAGTTTTTTATCCCTTCATTTGTGTTGAGAGCTTGGATGATTTTATCGTAATTCCATATCTCTGTATTGAATTCCTTTGTTATTGTATTTTCTATTGCTTTTTTCACGTATTGCTGCCAGTGATCTGTGTAATCTGTATCTGTTTCTAAATGCATACTATTTTCTAGGTTTTGTTGGAGGGCTTGGCTATAAGAAGTTTTCTTGCCTTTAGTTTTTTTCTCTTTAGCTGTTTCCTCTTGGTTGAGTTCGATATCTGGAGTTATCATACGAAGTGATCCTAAGCTTGTTATTTCCATAGTTATGTTACTAGTATTTCTAGTTTGGCTATTAGATGTTTGGTCACTTTCTATTTCAATTATTGCATCATCTGATTTGTTGGTTGTAATTTTCTGTTTGTTGTTGTTGTTGTCACTAGTACATTACAGATCTCCTGATTTGGTTTGAGTTGCTGTGATCTCGTCTGAATTAGTAGTTGTTGTGTTGTTGTCATTATTATTTTTTCCCACATGTGAATCTGTCAGAGGTAAGCCATTTTGCCCACTTTTTCTAGATTTTCTATTCTGATATTGGGTTGCAGTGTATCTATAGTTTTGCATCTTTTGTTTTTCTTAAGGTCTTGATTGTTTTCTATTTCTGTTTTCTCTTCTTCTTCATGTCATTGCCTGTTTGTATTGTAAGCTTGACTCATTTCATTTTGTTGAATTTGTTGTTGATGTTTCTTGATTGTTTGGTTTTCTTTTTGGGAGGTACTCCCTGATCTGTTTTCTTTGTCGTTGCTGTTCCTGTCTCTCTTTTTTTGCTATTTGATATTATTTAATGTGGAAGTTGTTTTGTGTGGAGTGCTTGTTAGCACTCCAGTAGTTTGTACTTACACTTCTTTGAGAATTTTTATTTAGTTGGTTGTTTCTGGTTAACTTTTTCTTGTACACAAAAAAATTTTATATGTAAATTGGGATGTATGGGAAAGAGTATTTTTTATAACTATTTTATTATATGGGGTCTGTTCCTTGAAAATAACCCTACGAGACATTGTTACACAAGATTTTTATTAAGAAAAACATAGTAAATCTATTTTTAGAAAAAAAAATTCAAGGAACAGAACCCATATAGTCAGTTAAGAAGTTTATTTGTATCTTTTTTTGTTATTTGTCATTAGTATGAATTTTTCCTTAATTCTTTGCTTAATCTTTTTTTTTTTTCAGTTTGTATTTCTCTTTATACTCTGTTTTTTAAAATATTCTACTATTTCTTTTTTTATTACACTAGTCTATATTCTATCTGTCTAGTAATGAAGAGATAATGACTCTATATTCTGAGTTTAAGTACTCTATTCCTGTATCTAAAACTAGTCTTTCTATATTTTCAATCACTTGTTTTATATTTTCTTTACCTTTTCTATACATTCTTCTAAGTACTTTGATATAACTAAACATTATAGACTTTATGTGTTCTTTTCTAAATTGCTTTTTGGAATTCTGTATTTTAATAGAAAAAATATATTTGTTTGCTACTGCTTATATTGTTTTAGCTATTAGATCTTATTCTTCATCATATTTGTTTCTCTCTTTTTTCTTTTTTTTTTTTTCTTTTTGTCACGTTTCTTAGGATTCTTTTAACTTCTTAACTGTATTCTTCTCAGTTTTCTCTTGTTGCCTTGTAGTATTAATATATTCTTCTTATATCTTTTTGTCTTTTCTTATTTCTTTGTTTATTCTTTTCGAAGATACTTGATCTATTTAGTTAAAACTATATTATTCTATAATTACTATCTGTGATCGTTTTCATTTTTTCTATATTGCTGTTTAGAATAAATACTTTTATCTCTTGTGTTAACCAAATATGATCTATTCTAGTTGAAGTTTTACTATTCGACCAAGAATATTTGATAAGCTCTAAGTTGCAATAATGAAAGACTTCTATATGATTATTGTTTTAAAACTATCTAGTAATTTTTTACTACTATCTATATTTCTTTTTTCTTTATAACTTATATCTAGTTTTTCATTTAGTACTATGTTGAAATCTTCTAGAATCATATAGTATGTATTTTTCTTGTTTCTAATAATTTCTTCTATTAATATCTTGTGTACTTTTTTTGTTACTTCTTCATTTTTAGATAGTAAATACATTATCCATACTTGCAAAATTACTTTTCTGAAGAAAAACTCTGCTTTAAGCAAGTATAAGCTAAATCTTTTGCATATTTCCATATTTTCCATTCAACTTTCATCTACTAACAAACCTATATGGGTTCTGTTCCTTGAATTTTTTTT